CTCATCAGTAGAATGCATCTATGTACAGCCCATTGCTAGAGTACATCGATGTACAGCTCATCACTAGAGTGCATCTTTATCAAGCCAAAAGGAATCTGAGTCTTGATGGGTTGCTCTAATCTCCCAACTAACAGATAGGAGCTCATTTTTGTAGCATTTAGGTTTTGTAAGAAATACACATCCACTTGGTGTGATGATGGAGGGAGAAATGTCTCGTTCACATCTAACAGCACTCTTTGCTCACTTCGTATAATGGAACGTCAAGCATTCATAGCAGTAGGGAAATCCTGTGATATACCTACTTCCTTATAATTCAACTTAAGAAGTTAGCAGGACAAGACCACTTTCAGTGCCCCTAAACCAGAGTGTGCGTTGTTACATGTAAAGGTACTCCACTTGTTCTGAGTGTACATGTCTACAAAGAAAGTGTGTAGACTGAAAAACCATCACAGGTACCTGGATTAAGAAACTAAACATGGCATACCCTAGACACTCTGCTGGTGCTCTCTTATAGTGAACTGTCCACCCCACAGAGATAACTACTACCCTGAGACAGTACAGACTAAATTTATTGTCTTTTATATTTTACGTATGGGATTATACAGAATATACTATGATGTCCAACTTCCTTCCTTCATTTTTATTATTTATATGAACAGTAAGCAAACTAGATTTATTCAAGCTGCTAGCCAAAGTATCATTGTCTTTGATTCTTATTGCTCGGCTATCTTTAGATATATCATTCTGATTTTGATGATTGTCTGAGTTGGTTTTATATTTGATATTTAAAGATAAAGATTTTCTTGGCTAGAGAGATGGCTCAGTGGTTAAGAGCAATTGTTTTTCTTGCAGAGGACCTGGGTTCAGTTCATATCACTCACAACCATCTGTAACTCTTGTTCTTCTTTTGTCCTCTGGTCACTGGACATGCATGTGGTCCACATAAATACATGTAGACAAAACACCCATGTGGTGATATATTGTGTATGCTAAATGTGGTGATATATTGTTTACCCTAATAAACTTACCTGGGGATCAGAGGACAGAGTCAGCCACTAGATCAGACATAGAGACCAGACAGTGGTGGCACACACCCTTAATCCTATCACTTGGGAGGCAGAGATCCATTTGGATCTCTGTGAGTCCAAGGCCACACTAGGAACAGAGTCAGGCAGTGGTGGCACACACCTTTTTTTAATTAATAAGACCATTTAGCAATTCATGTTATACACTTATACACATAATATAAAATAAATAAATATTTTTTAAAAGGATTTTCTTAAACTCGTAGGGCTCATTTACTCTCTTTCCATATTAGTAGAGACATATCCACTCCTTAATCTCCATTGCTTTTCAATTTGCTAAACAAAGTCCAGTTTAACGCCTTTTGTGTTTTGTGACGCAGCTGTGACGTGTTTGTGTTTGTTTCCTTTTGTCTTCACAGACCTGGGCGCTCCACTCCCTCTCTCTGACCATTGACTCTGCTGGTGCACTCTATCACGTCCACGTGGAGCCCACCCTGTCACTCATTACCATGTTGTTGTTAAGTGTGCCTCCAACTCACGCCGAAGTTCACCAGAGTCTTGGCCGCTGCTTGAACGCCCTGATTACCACGTTAGGCCCAGAGCTACAGGGTATGCAGAGGCTGCTTTCGTGGTGTTTTACATGAGGGTACACACATGGAAATAAGTTCATGTCTTAGTCTCTGTGCTTAGCATGTAGCAGGTGTTCCATATGTCTTCTTAAATGAAGGTTTCAGTTCAGTCAGCCTGGAGTCGCTTACCTTGGAAAGATGAAAGTGCCATATTTAGAGAGATGGGATTTGTCCAAAAAATACTTGTCTAAATAATTAAAGTGGCAGACATAAAGTATAGTAGCATAAAGAACTCTGCTCTCCAATAAATAAATAAATCCAAAGTTTCAAATAGTCAAACCTCTTCAAATCACATGGTGTATTTTGATTTATATACCAGCAGAGCTAAGTTGATTGGCAGTTTCTAATTCTATTTTTTTACCAAATTTTACTTTTCATGAATATTTACTGAAACCTGTAAATAGTTTTGGATTCTTCCAATAAACACTTCATTTAGAACAAACTAACTGGGCTGATGAGATGGCTCAGCAGACAAAGGCACTTTTTGCCAAACCCCCAGCTTGAGCCCTGTGATCCATGTGGTGAAGAGAGCCAACTCCTGCCAGGTTGTCCTGTGCCCTACACACACACACACACACACACACACACACACACACACACACACACGGCTATGTGCTCACCCACCCACATAGGTACACACAAAATAAGTAAAGAGTCCTTTTTTAAAAAGGCTTAAGAAGAAGATAATCTCTCAGTGTGACACCTTACTGTTCTTCCCCTGCTGTGTGTATGTATGTGTGTGTGCCTGTGTATGTCATACAAAAGGCCTCCCACATGCTAAGCACATGTTTAGCCACTGACCCATACCCCAGTCCATGTCTCTGTTTCTGTGGTGGAAATTTTATTTGACAAATCTATGAAATAATTTTAATGAACGTTAACACCTTCTATATGTTTAAAGAGAGACGAGTGGTTTCATAGGCCACTGGTTTTTAATGACGTCAGCTTTTGGCTTTTAATGATTTCAGGTAGCAATACTTCCGTGTCCACCTTAAGGACTTCCTGTCTGCTGGGTTGTGCAGTGATGCAGGATAACCCAGGCTGCCTGGTCCAGGCTCAGGCCATCTCCTGCCTTCAGCAGCTTCACATGTTTGCTCCACGGCATGTCAACCTGTCTAGCCTGGTCAGCTGCCTCTGTGTGAGTATGAAAGTAGAAGTGTGTTCCTAGTTTCTGAGACTTGCGTTTACTCCAAATGGATTCTTTCCTAGACTACGTACAAAGTAAGCTCTATGTATGGTTGTAGTCTGTTTTAGAAAGGGGAAGGACCACTTTCATATATCAACCTCTCAGCCTCTCGTACATGGGTTCATTTTCCTGCCGGTAGCGTTGAACATACATCCTGGCGTATCTAGTCATGACTCGAGACACTTACTGAGTGCTTGTACTGTGGAAGTCTGTGTACGTGCTGGGGGACCTGCGGGTGTTCTGTGTGTCCTGTCTGTCTTCCTTGCCCTCCTGCTCTCGTTTCATCCTCAGAAGTCCTGTCCCAGGTGGATAAGGGAGTCTGGAGACGGCTCAGTGGGTAAGAGTGCCTGCCGTGTGAGCAGGAGGGCCTGAGCTGAGCGCCCAGCGCCCACATGCAAGCATGGCTGTGACCAGGGCGGAGACAGCTGGGTCCTGGGGGCTCACAGGCCACCAGCGACACGGACACGTCCAGCCCAGGGAACAAGGCAGAGAGCAGTAGAGCAGGACGTTGGGAGCCATCTTAGGACCTCCACGGCTCCTGGGGTGGCCACACACACAATCCACAGAGAGAGAGTGAGAAAGTACCTTTCCTTAGCATTTGTATGGAACACGTCAATATCTGGGTCTTATAATGTAGCTAACAAATGTAGACAAGTAAAGCCAGCCGACCAGAAGTTCTCGTCAGGTGGTTCATAAACCGTCTTCACTTGGATGATTTTCCAGTGTCTGTTGAGACTTGCCACTAAAGTTGAGTCCCAGAAGATCTACAAACACGGTCCAACACAAAATTGTAAACCTGCCTAAGATGTTATTTGTGGGTTCTTTTTGTTGTTGGAGGGGTGTTGTCTGTTACTGTTTTGTTGGAGGGGTGTTGTCTATTACTGTTTTGTTTTTAGCTTGATTGTGACGTTCTCCAGCATGAATAATGCTGTAGGTGACGTATCATAGTGACAGCCTGTTGGACAAACATTTGGGAAGTCCTTTCATTTTATAGCTTGAGGCAAAATATGTAGCATTTCAGAACTTAAAAGGTGCATCTAAAACTGTCAAATTATCCCATCTTTTGTATCATTAAAGTAAGTCTTTAAAAGATAGTCTGAGGACCACAGCGTCGGCAATTTACCGAATATAGTCGTGGGTTAGTGTAATCTCTCTCCTGAATTCCTTGCCCAATTGCCCTCTTCTGCTGCGGGCCGCAGGAATATCATAAGAACTCAGCTGGTTATGGCAAAGTCACTACCTGGAGGAATCAGGGAATTCCTCCAGAGGAAGCCAAATCCCAAGGAGTTTTTGGTGTTACTTGGCTTGTTATATATCAGCTGTATTCTGTTACGAAAATCATGTGTGCCTTC